TGGATCAATTCCATGCTCGTCGGAGATTACCTCCCAGAACTGAAAAGAGGTAAACATAAAAAATTGACCTGTACCTTGGCACCAATCTGATTGCCGCACTGGCCAGCTTGGATGTGTACGATCTCACGCATTCTCACAGAAGAGGAGGGCAAGGCACAGGTTTAAACTGCTACTGAAGCCGAGGTCTGACCTCAGTTCTTAAGCATTTAAACAAACAGGTCATTACAAACGCAGGTAAGGACGGTTAACTCTACGCACATAATATTAGCTTTTTTAAGTTTTAGAACCCAGTTATTTTATTGTGGACTTAGTAACAGTAGACAGTTAATGGCGTGTCGTGCGTTATTCTGTGTGTCGACTCCGCGGCCGATTTCGGAGTAGTCACTAGGAAGAAATGGTACTAACGAAGCGGCAAATATCCAGTGCAAGTATGAAGGAGCGAAGGTTGTCCTTACCTATCAGTTGACATTTCTAAATTCATCCGACTACAACCTCAATCCTCAGAGTAAACTTTTGTTTGATCGCATCTTTAAATCTGCTCGTGGGTGTGGTCCACCATCTCTTCCTCAAAATAGATAAAATTCGACGTCAGCGACAGAGTTTATCTGTTCACTCTGAAACAAGTCCCACACCGATCGTTCGGAGAGGCTTGGCAATCTCAGCCTGAATGTAAGAGCGTCACAAAACGTTTGTCGAAAGCTAGCGATTGCCTTTTAGACAAAAGATTTAGAGGTAGTCACGCACTACATCATACCTAGCGCTCGCATAGTTAGTTTAAAGCTCATTTCCGTTTACAAAAGAGATTGTTGACATGTATTCAGTAAATTATACATCTGTTTAAAAGGCCAGACAGAAATTAGTAACTGCAAATACTTGTGTGACACACATCAGACGAGTTTATTTGGTGTTGATGACAATGCCGGCTACCGGAATGAGATCTTCACTACTTAGAATTACGCTCTAGATGTTTCCGACGGTTTTCAGATAGTGACACAACCTACGCTTCAACTCGTCATAGAGATTTGCAAGTACTGATGCTTCATATTAATTTCTGTGAACATAGGACAGAAAAAGTAACATCATTCCCATAGCTATTATTATTATAATAATAGCAAAATGTGCTCTGAATGAGCTCGCAGGGAGCTCGTTTTGAGAGGTACGCGAGCTCTGCTGGAGCTCTGAAATGGTAAGCGATCAGAGCTCATACGGAGCTCGCGAAAACGAGCCCAAAATGAGCTCTGAAAAACGGGCTAGCGAGGTCGTTCCGAACTTGGCCCGAGCTCCAAAAAAACGAGCTCCAGCCCTTACCCAACCAGGGGTTCCCCTCACTTGTGCTGCCCAATTCCCATTAATTACCCCATTTTTTTCCGGTAAGGTAAATATGGGAACACATGATGCTATAGCATCAGATTTTCCGTGCGTTTGGATCATTGTGATTCGCCTACGAATTTCGATCGCATCTATAAGCTCTCCCAGTTGAGGTGGTAGTACAACCCTTAGCCTACCTTTGTTTGACTAACCTGCTTACGTTATTAACTATGCAATGGTTTTCTGTATCGATTTATAACGATGTTAGACGTGGAGTCAGACGTGAAGGAAGACAAGTGCCGTTAGTTTACAATACAGATGGCGAAAGCCTCTAGATATAGTGAATGTACACATGCTGATGATCTGGGGAGAAACTGTGTTTTGAATTGATTCCTCTTCACTATGTGGCGGTTTTAATAATAATAATAATAGTTCCATTGACTACCCGGGTGGGCAAATCCATTCCAAATGCGATTGCAACTCTTACGTACAAAGCTCGAAACACGTAAGAAAGTTAATAAATTTGTCGATTAGTGTGCATAGGCGTGATGACTGAAGGGGCTAACGCACGCATTTAGCGTCCTCAGATATTATGAGGAGGCAATGAAACACGAAGACGAGCAGACAGTGATGAAAGCCCCTTAGATATGTTCGTAAAAAAGGCATAAGTTAACTCTGATTTGTGAATTTATGAAAATCAAAACTTCGCACGTGAGAGGAAAACGGGCGCCTGGGACGGTATCGTCCTGCTAATAAGACTTTACGAGAGTCAGAAAAGATTTAATTAAGAAAAAGTTCGTAGAGCAAAAGCGGCTACTTTAATAAATAATTACTTGTAGATACGACCACAATAATTTTCGGCCGAATTCAGAAAGAACTGCCAATGTAGTGAGACAGAGGAACCTACCACGATCATCAATAGGTCGCATAGGGTTGAAGCGTGGCGGAGATATTAAAAGGTCACGGGGCTCTTCGAAGGGCGCATAGGTGCTGTCATGACAGCTCTTTGCTGACTGAAAAAAAAAACACTATCAACGTGGAGAAACGGAGGAAATGGCGCGATTGTCAGTTGTTTGTTCGGGGCCGACACGAGGTGGGTATGTTAAGGGCCGCGAAGGTTATTGCTGCAGGGGAAAACTATCAATGTATTTAACAAAACTGAGCATAGGAGATCATTAGGATAAGGTGAGAGTTCGCAGGTGAAATATCGATGCAAGTAAGATCAAGCCTCAAATTCCAGGATGACCACCTTCAAAGTTAAAAAAATGAAGTGGTCGAGAAGGAAATGGACAATAATGGTGGCCAGGTGTGGGTCCACGTGAGGTCGTAGCAGGTCGCTAATAGCTTGCAGATGTTAACTATATCTAACGTCTATTAAACGGCAAACGACTCATATTAGGCTCCCCGAAGTTAGGCCCTGTCTGGCGGGCACATCACGTTAACCGCATCGGTCGACGGGCTAAATCAGGTGAGAGTATCCGTGTGTGCATCTCCAGACACGGTAATTGTGTTTCCCACTTCACTTTATGTCTACTCTCTACTCCGCTCTACTGTCTTACCTTATAGTCGGAAGTCCTACGGCGGGAACGGCAAAAATGACGTGGGCGGCCCAGGCCATTGGCTGCTCTCCATTTAAGTCCGCGATCCATAGTGGAAAGCGGTATCTGGCCGGTGCAGCAAAGTAACCCTGTTAAGGGAGAGCACTGCTTTCCCTCTCGAGAATGAGGGAACTCTAAAAGGCGCCCTGAACAAAGCTGACTTCGCGACATCTGCATGCACACCGTGGCTCGCAGACTGCCTAGCATGCGGTCGAAATCAAAACACAGGACCAAATTCACTTTGTTTTCCTCCTCCCTCCCGCCGCACCTCCAGGCAGTTAGGACGAGTCCGCTCACTTTGGTAGCCTGGAATTTTCGTTCCATTTCAGATAATTTCAGGAGCAACCGGCCGGAAGGAGGGACGAAGCTAGCGGCTCGGGAACCGGCGCGACACAAGGTGGACATCGCTGCACTCAATGAGGCCTGTTTCTCCGAACTAGGTTAAATGGAGGAGGTTGGTCCGTGTACACCCTCTGCTTGAGCGGTCACCCCAGGACAGACGGATGTCAGATGGGCGTTGCCTTCGCCATCCGAAACGGCATCGTGGGACTACTGCCATGTCTGCCACAGGGCATCAACGATCACCTGATAAGCCTCTGCCTGTCTCTCCGGGCAGGCCAATTCACCACCATCGACATCGCCTGCGTCCGAACAATGAACGGCTCAGACAAGACGAAGACAAAGTTCTACGAAGACCTGCACGCCATCCTGTCGTCCGTCTTGAAGCTGGGTTAGTTGACTGCCGTCGGTGACTTCAACGCCCGCGTCGAGATAGAGCGCACTGCCTGGAGAAGAGTGCTGAGTTCTCACGGAATTGCTGGTTGAAATTAAAATGGCCTGCTTATCCAGCGAACCTTCGCCGAACACCGCCTCCTGCTGACCAGCACACTCTTCCGCCTGCCGATGAAGAAGAATGCGACCTAGATGTACCCCCAATCGCGAATCTGGCAGCTGCTGGACGATGTTCTCATCCGGCAGCGCGGTTGGCAGGACGTGATGGTGACCAAGGTGATAAGAGACACTGATGGCTGGGCGGACCACCGCCTCGTCATTTCCAAGATGAAGCTTCCTCAACAAGCCCACGGGAGGCCACAAGGAAAGTGACCTCCAGGTAAGCTGACTGCTGCTCTGCCATCCTTCCCTGTTCACGGTTTGCATTTCAGCAATCAGCTGACGATGCGGACGAAGACCTGCCAGCAGCAGATGAAGACGCCTCAGTGGAGACTCGGTGGTGTCAAGTACGGGGCGCCGTTCACTTTTTTGCGCCTGATGTCCTCGGTCGCGCACAATGCCAGCTCTAGGACTGGTTTGACAAGAGTGGTGCCGCCGCTAGTAACCAGCTGGCCGAGAAGAACAGGTTGTACGGAGCATTCCTCGACCGCCCAACCGATGCGGACAAGACGGCCTTCCACCGATGTCTACGCCTAGTGCAGCTACGGTTTGCGAGGAATGTAGGGCATCTGGGTGGCTCGCAAGGTAAAGGAGATCCAGGCATACGCCGACCGCAAGGATTCGAAGATTTGCTTCGTTGCAATCAAGGCGATCTTCGACCCCCAACCAAAGGAACTGCACCGCTTTTCAGCTCTGGTGAATAAACGCTTTTGACGGGGAAGTCGCTGACTTTGGAGCGCTGGGCCGAGCACTTCAAAAATTTCCTCAACTGCCCCTCAAAAATCGTTGACGCCGCCATCGACCGGCTCCCCAAGTGGAAATCAACGTCGACCTATACCCTTCATCCTCCCTTCCAGAAATCATTCGCGTCATGTAACAACTTTCCAGTGAAAAAGAATCCGGCTCCGACGCAATCCCAGTCGAGATCTACAAGCCCGGCGGCCACCGCCCGATGGACTAACTCACTCCGCTATCACAGGAGATGTGGCGCTGTGGATAAGTCCTTTAAGACTTCAAGAACTCAACAACTGTTCACCTCCACAAGCGCAAAGGAAAACGGAAGGTGTGCGACAATGGGGCAGCTCACTACTCAACATCGCTGCGAAGGTCTTCGTCCGTTTCCTCATCAGTGGTCTCAACGGACATCTCGATTAAGGACTGCTGTTGGAAAGCCAACGTGGTTTCCGACGACACCGACGCACCACTCAAATGCTATCTGCCGCTCGCCAGCTGTAGGGGAAGTGCAAGAAGATGCAAAATCACCTATAACCCACCTATTTTGACTCGACGAAGGGTTTTGGTGCGGTGAGTCGCGAGTAACAGAAGAAAATCATGCAGAAATTCGACAGTCCCGAACGACTAACGCACATAATACGTCAGCTCTGCGGTGGGATGATGGTGCGCGTCACGGACAAAGGCGCAATCTCCGGGCATGCGCAGCAACCAGTGGAGTGAGGCAGGACTGCTTCCTTGAGCCTACCCTCTTCAGTCTCATGTTCTCTTCCATGCTTATGGACGCCTACTGTGATGAGTATCCAGGAATACGCACCAACTATGGAAATGACGGGCGTCTCCTTGAAACAGGCTCATGTAGGCCCGAACGCGGCTATCTACGACCTCGACCCATGATCAGCTCTTCACCAACGACTGCGCGCTCAACACCACGACCGAAGTGGACATGCAACGGAGCATGGACCTTCTCCTCGCCGCCGAGTGTGCCAACTTCGGCTTGACTATCAACACGTAAAAAACGGGGGTCATGCACCAAATGTCACCCAACACGCAACACAGCTCTCCTCATCGAATCACTGTTGACGGCCACCAACTAAAAACCGTGGAAGCGCACTTTCCAGCAGCTCCAGAATCGACGATGAGGTTGCCCACCGGGTCTCCATAGGCAGCCAAGTCTTCGGCCGACTGCACAACTGCGTGTAGAATCGTCACGGCCTAAAAATGAATACAGAACTGGAGATGCACAAGGCCGTCGTCCTGAAGACACTCCTCTACTGGGCAGACACTTGGACCATATGCTCAAACGTGCCAAGAAACTCAATCACTTCAATCTCAGTCGCCTTCGCAGAATACTAAGGCAAAGATGGTAAGACGGGATCCCCGACGGGCCGACATCCTCAGCATTCACTCAATGTTGAGGTAACTGCAGGTAAGTTGGGGCGGCCATGTTGTGAGGATGGAAAACACACGACTACATAAACAATCCTTCCACTGTTATGCCGCCACCGGTGCTCGCCGACCGGGAAGACCAAAAAGACGCTACAAAGACACATAGAAGAATTATCTTAAGTGATTACATATCAGTTCAGAGACCTGGGGGACCTCTCCCAGAACAGACGGGCCTGGAGAAAAGAAGTGAAGACCGGCTCTGCCATCTACGACGCAAATTGGATCGCCACCGCCAAAGCTGTATGTATATATTTGAAGGGTTAGAGGCAGAGCTCTTGATGACCCTAATTATGTACAGTGCATTCACGGATTCGCACCGAATATAAAGTTGTAAACATTTGGGATGTGGTCGGCTCACAGTACAGTCGCAATGATAGGGAAGCGCATCTGTTCATTGTAAGTCAGTATGGAAAGATTGTGTATGAGAAAGTATTTTACAGAGCTGACTGTAAGTAGTCAAGTTGTAAAAGTCAGGCTTTGTCGGAAATTACACGAATAAGTTATCTTTTAAACAAGTAAATTGTGTAGACCGCCGCGATCTCGCTTCGTGGCGAGTTCCATGGTCAGACAATCCGCTAACTACGGACAGTCCGGAATGTCCAGGGTAGACTGCAGTTTAGATGCCTACAAGAGAGAGGGAATATTCCAAACAGTTCCAGCCTCTCCTGGTAAGACAACAACTTTAGGTAGTCGAACACTGTTGTTGATCTGCGTTGCGCCTGTTTGAGTAAGTCAACATCTTCCTAATACATGATGAAGCAGCTGACATCACATACTCCAGATTAGGTCTTGCAAAGACGCCAAAAGGTCTTTCGAAGAGTTCAGGAGGGGATATTTTAAATGCACGTCCGACCCAATGTAAGGTACTAATTGCCTTCTGGACTATTTTTCTGCAGAGTTCTAACGGCAATAGATTTGTGGTCGTCCATAAACCCAGATCTCTGTGTCTTTCCTCAGTTTCCAACGTCCTCCCGTTAGCATAGTTCTGGTGATTGGGTGAGACATTTCAGTCGGTATTTAGGTGCAGAAGCACGCATTTGGACACGTTAAAGTTCCAACGCCATCTGCTCGATCAAACACACTGCCGATGTTCGACTGCAATTTCTTTGCGTCATCATCGCACTTGACTTCACTTTACAGCATATGTCGTCCGAGAACACGAGGGCCTCACAATCCAGTTCGCCGATGCAACCATTAACATAAATCAAGAATAGTACTGGACCTGAGACAAAATCTCGTATTCGTGTGGTTTCAAATACAAAGTAGTCGATGCAAAACGCTTGTCCTCCAGTAGCAAAAATCCGCCCGTCTTAGTTAAGTTTTTTTCACCATTCCTGGTCGACCCAATATTTGCCCATAGAGATCGTGTTTCTGCGTGCCCGGAAAATGAAAAATTTTTCATTTGTCATGATCTTAATCCCATGGAGCGTATAGTCGAGTATTTCTTCTCACTTAAACCAACTACTGCTCAGTCTAATGTTCAACAGCTCGGTCATAATACAAGTAGCCGTGAGGATTCAGCTGGTCCTACTTCTGCGAAATCTGACTGCCTTCTTCTCCTTATTCCTGCATCTCCCTCTCACTCAGGCCACCTGACGCATTTGCCTGCCCCTACGTTAGCAACAGCCCCGGTTGTCGTTCCTAATTCTCCAGATAACTCCCCTAGGACGCATGAAAATCCGTCTACATCAGTTGGACCGATAACCTCCCCCCCACTTCAACAGGGTGCTGCAAACTCTACAGAAAAGTCACTTGTGGCTTGACGTCGGAGCGGTGAGACTCCAAAACTGCATCAGACTCCCATCCAAAAGAAAGGTAGTACAGTTCCATTTGGGAGTACGCCGTCTTCTATTATACCTACCAAGCCTCTACAGACCACCTCGTCTACAACCCCGCAGCTCCAATTATACCCCCAAATAATTCTCTGTCCTGTGTACCGGTCACTTACCAAAGCCCTAATATATATCCAGTAAATAATTCATACGTGAATTGTCCTAAGTAATTTATCGTCCAACCTAGTTCAGGCATCCCACAACTTAAGGCCAGCTACTCTCACATACATTAGATGTGCTAACTCATTAAATGTCAACCAAAATTTCGAAATGCGTTCTCGTTTCGAAAAGGTAAATGAAGTAGTTGTGTAACACTAATCATGATGCAGCATAAATCTATAATGATTCAGTTACGTCAGGGTGTCGGCTTTCGAAAGAACTTATTTTCAGCTGCATGCAAAATCTATACTCTGCACAAATGGCTACTTAAGTAGTATGCAATTTTCTTACTGATTTTCGATGCATTTGAAAATTCAATTAGATATCATGGAAAACATGGATAAAAATATTCATTCTTTTACTTATTCGGTAGAAAACCACGTCTTCTTCCAATTTTATACTCAAAAGAAGAGTATAATTCGGTTTTAAAAAAGTTTCTAATTGTGAGATCTACTACTACTGTAAGTCAACCGAACTTCTTTGACTTCCAGCCTAGACATGGTTTCCCACCCTTTTGTTTTTATAGCTGCCTACCCTCCCTCACCGGTCTCTACC